TTTTCTTCCCTGCTTTCAACCATTAGTGCAGCAGCATATATTATACATGATGATGGCCGGGTCCCATTCAGGTACGTGGTCATGCAGCTGTGGAGAAGATCACGTGCTGACCTCATTATCTTCCCAAATGTAGGAGATAATGTACTTTGCCGTACGGATAATCCAATAATATTCTGCTCCATCCGAAAGAAATCTTTTTCTTTTCATCCAACAAAGCTGTCTTTTCGCTCAGACTCTCGCGGGGTTCTTTGAACCGTGCACAAAACAGACGATAAATAAATAATAAAAATACAAAATCAATGAGACACATCTAGATAGACACAAGCTATTTTCCCCCAGATTGTTATTCTCAGTTGGTATTTACAAAACTTCCAAAGACCACAGCGTTTCCAGACTATGAGACCAATTATGCTCAGCCTGTTAAACCCTTTGCCATTGATTTCTTCTCCGCCTCCATGTGCCAGCGCTGATGTGGGTGTGCTGAGCTGGAATCAGTTCCCCCGAAAGGCCGTGAAATGGAAAGCCTTGTTTCAGCCTCTGCGCCAAATTAGATTGCGTCCTTGTGTCGAGGGGAGCTGTTTGTTTGTGTCGACTTTCCCTTTTGTCGAAAAGGTCAAATGAGCAGGCCGAGGAGCGTCCCGAGCAGCCTTTTGTCACACGTTGTTTATGGCCGTTCCTCCACGGACGGGCTCAGCAAAGACCTGGAGCGTACAGTTCGCATGCGAGCACAAGGCCGTTGCCCCCTCCGCCAATGGACGCCAATGGACGCCAATGGACACTAATGGACACCTCTGGACGGGTCGTACAACTGTCGTCGTACGAGCACAGAAAGTGGATGAACGGTTGCAAAAAAAGCTGTCTGAGATGTTGAACCTAAACACAAATCCAATATTGGCAAACGGACAGCTTGGCCCAACAGATGCTGACTGGGTGTGTTTTTCCCCTCTGCAGCTCGCAGAGTGCTGGAATAAATCAGTGTCGAGCTCGGAGCTAATGTGGAACACGTGATGGGCGGTGACAGCATGAATGATGACTGCATTATTCAGCTATGAACTGCAGTCCTACTTTGACAATAGTCATGGTGTGCTTCTTGGGCAGATTTTTGTCAAGCGTGGAAAGGAAGCTGAGTGTCAAACTGTACGATGTCTACGGGAAGTGGCAAGAAAAAGAGTTTATTTCACAGTTTGAAAGCCGGTGTTCAGCGGATTTAGAAAGAACCGCAAATAGAGAATTGAAAATATCCACAGCAGGGTTAGTTTTTAGGTCAACAGAGTCAAATCCCTCAGGAGCTTCAAACACAATATATGTGAAATATAGATCAGTAAATATGTGTGGGCCAAAGTTTTATTGGAATTCTGTAATGATGTTTCTCTTTTTCAGTTGGTTTCAAGTGGTCAATGTCTTCTCCAATATAAGAGAACGTTTTACCCTCAATTAGTTGCTTTTTTTAACATGGCTGCTGTGTCCATTTGTCTGTATATGGATGCAACCGCCCGTGTTCACATGCCCGCTGAGCGCATCCGTCTATATATATTATATATTTGGTGCACAGGCTCCACAGGCAGCAGACAGAGGAAAGCATCTGAACGTTGTAAAGCACGACGGTTCACACCCGGGTCATATCTTCAAAATTAAAATCATGACAGCTTCTTCTTCTGAAGCATCGGTCGTAATATTCCTGCAGCTACTGAACCGAAGGGAAGCCACCTGCGGCCCCCGAAATGAAATCACTACATCAGCAAAACGCCGCGCGTCACGTGGGAGCGGAGAGCTCGCGCGTTTGCGGAAACAGGGGATGTATGGAGGGAACCTTTTGTTATTCTACGTTGGGGAAAAGATGCGCGATGAAGTGCTCCCACGTCGGGATTCTATTCAAAGAGCTCATCGTTTGCAGCGTCGACGTTCACGACGTGATAAGAGCAGGAAGCGTGTGCTGAGTGGGGAGACGCTCCGACTGGAAACGAGCAGGTGGTGGCCTTTCATCCCGAACGAGCCCCCCGAGGTGACTCCCCCCGGCGCCCCCCCCCCGGCTCCCCGGCCTTTGTGCCGCCGTCATGCCGTATCTCCAAAGCGGCCTGGTGGGGGGGGGGGGGGACTCGATAACGCCGGCAGGAATCACAAGGGCGGGGAGAGATTGAGAAATAAACCATATTGGCCTGCGTGTTAGGGTGTGGGGGGGGGGGGGGGGTGGGCGATAAATGACATAAATCCTGCGTGCCAGTCAACATGTGATAACAGCTTATAGAGGGAAATAAAAAACATAAAAAAAACAGAGGGCGACGGGCCGCCGAGAATAAAGATAATTATTTTTGATAAGGAGCAAATGGAAAAAGGGGGTAAGGTGATAAGAGCAGGCAGGGGGCCGGAACTCTGTGCAAGCTGGTGTCCGTCTGCAGAGCCGGCGACTTCCCGCCTGCCTGCAGGGGAAAAGCCTCAGCTGCCACCAGGAAACTCCTCTCCTCTGTGAAAGAGTCGGTCGTCCCCCCGTTCAGGTTCATGAGTGTCTACTTGACAGAGAGGCTAACATTGAATATAAAAAAATCTATAAAAGATTCAATCTGACACCGGTAGTACAGAGTAAAAGATTCACGGTCAAACTGGGAAGAAGGCTGCTGTGACATCTCGAGTCGGTGTTAATAGACCAAAAATATGTTTTAAAAAAGAGGTGGGGGGGGGGGTCAAAAGGGAAGAAAACGTAGAAAAAAAAAGTAAGGCAAAATGTGCCGGTGGCTTTTTTGCTCAATGGTAAGTTGAGAAATCAATAATGCTTTCATACATTTGCCCTTCGTGAGGATCTAAAGAGAGGCGTTTCGCTTAGGGACGCCCCCCCCCTTCCCCTCCCCTCCACGTTTCAACAAGTAAGTCCTCACCAAACCACAGCTTCCACGTCTTCATGCGCGTAGGAAACACAACGGGAGCACAGGGCCGTTCTTTAGGCCCCGTTTGTGACTTTTAATGATGGATGAATTAAGGGTCACAACCCTCCACCCGATGTCGCTGAGAAGAACCGTGATGATCACCGCTGACTCTGTGGAGTCACGCGGTGGAGCATCTATTTTGCTTGTCACGTCTGAAGCCGAGACGTGCCCCCCGCCCCCACACACATACTCTGAAATATATGTGCACCCATAAATGTGACACCTGCCGAATGTTTGTGACGGCACATATCTTAAATTAATAAAATCCCACCTTTTTATCTCGTAATGTAATCCCATCTTTCAAATCAAACATTTCCTTCACTACGGGATAAAGTAAAGTCTTGTATAAGCTCTCAGACACCCTGTCAGGCATATTCATCCGTGTCAGGACAGACCTTCCTGCCACAGCATTCCTCTCCCTGAAATATAGATCCGAATTTGAGAAAATGTTTAGCGGAGTGATCAGCAGTGTTCAGTATATGAGAGAGGAAGCTTCAGGCAACCTCAGATCTATCTGATCAAATCGGTCAGGGAAAATAAGAAAACAGGGATTGTTGTGAGAATGAATATCACACGTACACAACTTCAAAGACAAGGAGGAATGTTGGTATTCCTTTGAAACTATGGATCTCAGCTCAGATCTGAAATGTGAATGAGTGCAGCTTCACTTAGTTCACTGCGCGGTTGCCCTTCAAGTCATTGGCCTCCAATGCGCGCTGCCCTACTGCGATCGACGTGGAAGCCAAACGCGGCGCGGTCGCAGACCTGCAAGGTATCTAATGAACTACGACCTACGCTCGGTGAGCCTTTTAGTAGGCACCTCTAACCCGAGAGAGAGACGGATATCACCGATCCAGTCTGCACAGTGTTAAGAGAAGACGTTATGTTTCAATGACATTAAATCTTTTTGATGTCCCACCTGCTCCGTTCTGCCCCTCTTCACCCCGACTGATCGGCGTGATGTTTCTACGCTGGTTGTCCCACTCGGATGAAAAGGTCCCTGGTGACAAAAGAATAACCCCGTTTTTTTTTTCCCAGCTCTCAGCGTTCTGCAAAGGGAAATGTGGACGTATAGAAAGTCTGTGGCCCCGATCCCGATGCCCTAAAGCCCTGAACGCTCGGGGACGTCGCGTCCCCGCGGTGGAGGAACGGAGGACAGACTGGATGACGGCGCAGTGGGACGGGAACAGCAGCTCCTGCGTGTGGCGAAGTACAATGGAGCTTCACAATGACTTTTCTGAGCGAATTCAGTGGCGATATCCATTTCCCTTCTGCAGACAATTTGCTCCTCCATCTCTTTAGGCCTCGTTTGTTGCACGCGCGCTCCTCAGCGGCGGACTGTTTTGGGGAGGAAAAAAAAAAGATAACTGCCGAGGTGCAGTAGGCAGAGTGCACCACTGATGCCAGGTGGGTCCTCAACCACCACTGCCAAAATGTGAAATGCAGTGAACACCACCCAAAACGGGCATAACCCCCATGTGTTGATGCTTGTGGGCTGTTAGGGATCGTAAAAACTTCATTGAAAAAGCCCAAAACCAGCGGGAACGTCGAAGCCCTTTAAGACACTTTCCTGCCAAAAAAGCAAATGAAACTCATCGGGAGTGGCAGAGTGTCCTTGCTGTTAGCCAAAACCAAACGCAGAACTGTGTGTGCCCAACACAGTACCGGATGGGATCTCACGTGCAGCCCAAGTGCTTATTGAATGAGGAATCAGCAGGGAGCCATTGGCAACGCAGGCAATAACAGAAAGTGTGATTCACCACAGCCGCGACACGCCATTTGAAATAGTCCTCAGCAACAGAGGGAATGAGCCGTGGACAGACACCGGCCCTGTCACTCAATCATGGACACACGCTGTCCAGCACATCACTCACCTACCGGAGGTGATAATTATAAAATTCATGAGGTCATTTTAGTTTAATCTGGGACTCAAACTGGAAGAAACGCTGCAAAAAAAAGAGGATGCAGTAGCTTATTGAGTAAGTTGCTCGGTTCCCACCGCGCAGCGAGATGCGTTAAAGTCAAGCGGCGGGCTTCATCAATCATGACGCGGGCCGCAATCAAACGGCAGAATTGTGAAAAATGGAGGCTGTCATAGCGGCGGCGCTCGGTGTGTGCGGGGGCGCTGCCGAGGTCCAGAGTGAGACGGGCCACTTCCACTTCATCAGAGGCCTTCCTGGTGAGATTGAATCACTGGTTGAAATGCTCGTTTTTTTCCGCGCACCTCCCCGTCATAACTGGAACTATACGCGAGTGACGTAGAATTAGATGTGAGGGGCAGAGTGCGGTTAACAGCTTTACCTCAGGCCTGTTCAGACCGCACGTTTTTAATCGTCGATGCTCCCCTCCGCTTTTCTTCCCTGTTTTTCTCCACAGCGCCCGTAAGCCGCCTCTCCGTCGATCTGCTGAGCTGAGCTCATTCGTGTGTTACAGCTCAGACCTCCCGATGAAATTAGCAAAGCATAATCTCGTGAACGTAATGATTCTCAGACATGCAATTAAGCTTTAAGCACATTAAAGTTTATTAATTGCTTTAAGGTGATCACAACTCGCCACGTGAAAGTTAGATGGAGGGAACATAGATCGATGCTCCCGAGAGGTTTGCAGGGTTGAACCCTCGCCCCAAAACTTCCAATCTATGAATGTATCTCATTGACTGTTTCCCTTGTATTGAATCCGCAGCGGAATACTTGACTTTGATGCAATTTTGTGCACAGATCGATCAGCTTCTAACTGTCCAAGACTGACGGGTGCAAACAAAACTCATATAGGTTTCAAGGAAAAAACTTTTACAGCTTGAAGTGGACTGGATGAAAAAAAAAAGACTTTGATTCAACACTATTGACTTTGGTATGCATGAAAAACGTGACCAGACTTCCGCATGAAAGTGACGTTCAGCCATCCGCTACGATAGAAGGACCGTTTCCTTCGCTTTCAGCGCCGAGCGCCTGAAAAAAACACCTAGAGGATGTTTGCTTTGCACTGAAAGCATCACATTTACGTTCGTGTTGGTGATGTTTGATAATACATGAAGAAAGAAGGAGAACTCCACTTTAAATCAAGATAAGCTTGTGTGCCAAATACCATTTGCATGTGTTGTAAGGGCAAAGTAGTGAAGATAAAATCTTTATGTGAAAACAAACTCTCCTTTAAACACAAACCCACTCAGGTGCTTTCAGCTGAACTAATTGGACCTCTTGGGATTTGTTTTTTTTCATCAGCTGTTCAAGTGCAAAAGTATAGTAATAGAAGGAATACACCTACACTTTAAAAAACAATATGTCACTTTTGCATCACATTATATATTTGAGTTTGTAACGTCAGTGAAGCGTAAGACATGTTTCATTTGTTCATGATAAAAAGCAGTACACTTTCAATTCCTTCTGAAGAGCAATACATCACGAACAATCCAGAACATTATTATACACATAAAAATAAGAAAACAGGCGCGTGGCCGCTCGGGTCAAAGAGAGAAGACTCCGTCGGAAAGTTCTGGGCTCTAAGCAATTAGTCACCACACCTGTGGCTGGGTGGATCACTTAGTAATGTCTTCAACCAGTTAGAGACCAGTGCCTTTTTAATCCCGTATTCCCCAACAAGCCGGCGGGGAAAATAACCCTCAGAACAAGAAACCTCAGTCTGTGAAGGTCGGTTCCCTCGTGAATATTTCAGCAGTTTTCTCTGAGCCAAAGAGCCGTCGGTCCGAACTGCAGCGCAAATGATCACAGAGGCTTTGTGTACGTTAGGAAGACGAGAGCGTGCGTTTCATGGAATTGTCATTTTGGTATCTGCTCCTTTTTGTTCTCCTCTGGTGTCGCCGGCAAGCTTCTTACGGCGAGTCGGGAGGCGCCGCGTGTTGGTGATGATTTCACCCTGGAAGTCGCTGCTAAAAATAAACCTACTGTTCTTCCCCCCCCCCCCCTCGTGACAAAAGGCCCCCCGCTTTTTTTGTCATCGCGGATTTTGGACACTTCATTGACTTCTGCTAGATAACAGAACTCTGGATGACGTTTAAAAAAAAAAAAAAAGGGAATAGAAGAAGATAAAGCAGCTAAAAAAAACCCTTTTTATTTATGTGTGAATCCAAGGGCTTCAAAGGCTTCTATGTCCTCTTTCTATCAAAGCTTTTTCTCATAGTAAAACATGTTTTACAGATTACAGAGGCTTCCACAGACTCGACTTCAAAGTGACCATGAGGGGGGGGGTGTTACTAGAACAACGGGAATACACCGTTAAGCTGGTTATTGGTTTACAAGTGGTACATTTCGAGCTAAATTGCACAAACTCTCCTGGCGTCTCATTGGGTCCCGCGGCACATCGAGGAGCGTTCCGGGCGTCAGGACCGCTGCTGAGATGAGACGTGATAGTTGGTGTCTCCCACACGAGTTCAAGGGCGTTTTGATTCTAGTTAATTAAGGTCAAATGAAGTCGTATTCAAGGAGGCACTTTGGAATCAAGCCGCCGCCAATTACGCCTCGAGCAAAGAGATCCGGCTTTTAACGTGTTTTCTGAGGGATTCTTTCCCGGTGCAACTTTTCTTTTTTCTTTGTGTATCCCCTCCCGTGGGCGACACATGATTGACAGTAAGCTGAGTGGAAGGAGATGTGTGCGCTGTCAGAAAAACCCTCAACCCAAGGGCGCAGTGAAAACACAATGCAAACGAAACTGTGACACAAACAAATAATGGCTTTTATCGCCATCACGATGGATTATCAAATTCTGCCAATTACCGTCTGTCGTAATGAAATCACACTGAACAAGTGACAGCAAAGGAAAGTGGAAGAGCCAACCATCATAAATGTAGCTCTGCTGGCTGTGTGCAAAGTGATTGACACACGCCGTGTTTCCCTTTTATCACAAACCCTCGGACGTCAGACAGATACGCGGGTAAACCACATTTTGGTGGAAGAAAAGGAGAAAGACGAGTTGAAGAAGTTTGGACGGCGGCCACGATCGAGCCTCGGTCTCGTTGATGATCACTCGCGTGTCTTGTCCTCCAATCTTCCCGTTACTACACCTTATTGATTCCCTTTGGGGATTATTTCCATTGACGAAGCCCTCTTCCATTGACGGCTCGCTGCGGAGATCGCATCACTGAAATTACTTTTTCTCTCTGTGAGGCAAAGAGAAAGAAATCAAAAGGCAGAGACGCAGGTAACCACCACTATTGCCCAGGAAAATAAACTACATTTCTAATATACGTTATTATTTACCTGCAATAAATATTGAGGACATTGGTGTGGGTGTCATATTGGGAAAGCCTGGGAAGGGAGCAAGTGGTTTGAGTTTGATTTGAGATTCTTTTCTCCAAATGTTGTCAAGTCAGCGCCCCAGTGATCCTTTTAGGGGGGTCCAGGGGTCTAGATGTGGAGCAGGACTCCAGTGTTGCGCCGAAGCAGGTTGACCGGGTGAAAAACTCATTTTGTTGGTCGGTCCTTGCACACGGACACATGCTGAATGGCCCACTGACGCTAGCTGTTTACCGCTAACGCCTCATGTCATCCGGTGTCGCCCCACATTTACATTCTGTCACAAGGAATCTCTGTCGCCGTGTCCGAACCGCCCGCCGGGTCCATTAACTGATCAACACCAGTTAAGTGGACCGGAGGCAGCTGGGCTTTGACGCGACCGCAGAGGGAAAGGTGTTTGCCATCACCAGCGCTGGTGGGGGAGGCTGGGAGGGGGGCCAGACATTGCAATCGGCCTTATTACAACATTATTCTCAAATGATATAATATCATAAGCTCTGAGTACATATAGAACGAGAGCAATCCCACACAAAATATGGTGATGAATTGTGGTTTCACACTAAAGCTTTTTTTAACCTGTTATATAGGTTTATCTAATGGGGTCATTCCCTGTAACTCCAATTTAATGATCAGCACCATTATTTCTCATGAGAATTAGAAGAGATCATCTTCAAGGTCCCTCTGTTTTAATAGCTTGGATCTTCCCACACAAAGTTTGCCATGCGTGAAGGTTGTTGTAACCCCCCGGTGCTACCAGAACATCCATTTCTTCAGGAGTAATTCAATTTTATTAGAACGCATGGGTGTTTGAATTACACCGTATGTACCACTGCACCGGGCAGGGTTACAGTCTCCATACTGACGGTAAACCCTTCACCAAGTCACTGTGCAGCTGACATTAAGGAGATGAGTGGCTGAAGTCCACGGAGCAGCTTCCGTTTCCAGGTATCTCTGTGTTGTTCATGGCGTCACGCTGTGGAGGCTTAGCGGGCCGGAGCCACGGTGCTTTCAGCAACACTCGTGCTTTTCCTACGGCGACAGCATTCCGTCAGATATTAAAGATTCGACCACACAACTACGTGTTTGTGATGATGTGTTACCTGTGCTTGGGATCCATCCCAACAGCAGCCATGTAGCACACCTTGTGTTTATGTAAACCTGTATTTTATCCCCTTTTACAATCAGCCAATATCAAAGTTCTGCTCCTAGAGTCTGTTTATAGTCACCATATTAAATGAAAAGTCAAGGATTAGTGTATTTGCTAACCGTGCATCATCATCTTGTTCACTTATTCAATTAACAAATGGAGTTTCACATGTTTAAGTGTTTGACTACATCATTTTCCCTTTGTTAAAATGGGCATTATATGAATGCTGGAGGCATTCATTTTAGATTAAATCACATTATTCAATCTAATTATGTTTGCATTCTGATTAATTATTCATTTACGATTCAGTCATTTCTTGTTGTTGCTCACACAAACATCTTACAGCCATTTTAGAGCCCCCCCCCCCCCCCCCCCCCGATCTGCTGTCGAGTATTTAGACCCCAAAAAACTAGGATAGGGGAAAAAGAGAACGAGCAGGCCGAGAGGCCGGGATCACAGCATGTGTGCGCCTGGCTGTCTCTTTGATAGCTACTATGACTTTTCACAAATGAGGGGCCGACGGGGGTGGAGGAGACTTTATTTTACGGCACCAATTGTGGGGAATAACTATCATGCTTGAGATGTGTGCGCTCAGCCTTTTAGCTCAGGACAACAACAACAAGAACCGTGAAAACAGAAAAACGCTGGCGATGGGAGATGTGCAAGGTGTTACCAAATCATGAATAATTTAAATCCAATAATTTCCACTTGCTTCCCCCCGTTTTACGGACGCACACTGTATTTACTTGGCGCACAACACTTCCCCCTTTGTTGTGCAAACGC